AGTCACCAAATGAAATTAATAGGCAGCAGGTTTAAAACAAATACAAGGAAGTTCTTCTTCATGCAGCTCACAGTCAACTTGTGGAACTCCTTACCTGAGGAGATTGTGAAGGCTAGGACTATAACAGCATTTAAAAGAGAAATAAATAAATGGATAAATTCATGGAGGTTAAGTCCATTAATGGCTATTAGCCAGGATGGGTAAGGAATGGTGTCCCTAGACTCTGTTTGTCAGAGGGTGGATGGAGATGGATGGCAGGAGAGAGATCACTTGATCATTGCCTGTTGGTCCACTCCCTTTGGGGCACCTGGCATTGGCCACTGTCGGTAGACAGGATACGGGGCTAGATGGACCTTTGGTCTGACCCAGTACGGCCGTTCTTATGTTCTAAAATGCCACCCCCAAATCCTGCCGCCCTAGGCGACCGCCTAGGGTCACCTAGTGGAAGCGTCGGCCCCGTTTATATGTCATTTAATAAAACAAAAATAAGTGCAGTGAAGTTCCCTTGGGGGAGGGATAGCTCAGTGGTTTGAGCATTGGCTTGCTAAACCCAAGGTTGTGAGTTCAATCCTTGAGGGGGCCACTTAGGGATCTCGGGCAAAATCAGTACTTGGTCCTGCTAGTGAAGGCAGGGGGCTGGACTCAATGACCTTTCGGGGTCCCTTCCAATTCTATTAGATAGGTATATCTCCATATATTATTATTATTTATACTTAAACAAATCTAGTTTGAGGTACTGGCAGTGTGACTGCTTGCATCGTTTAAAAGACCACTGATGGAATTATTTTCCCGCAGCTATTCATCTATTATTCTCAGTGGCATGAGTTCTCATTGTAAGATCTAGTGGCTGAAAGTTGAAGTTGGCAACGTTCAAGCTGGATATAAGATTACATTTTTAACAGTGATGATAACTAATGATCGGAACAACTTACAAAGGGCTGTAGTAAATTCACCATCACCTGGAGGCTTTAACTCAAGGCTGGATGTCTCAATAAGATACAGTTTAGTTCATCCACAAGTTATTGAGTTTAGATGTAGAAAATAGTGGGTGAAAATCTCTGGTTTATGTTATCCAGGAGGTCAGACTAGATGATCATAATGGTCCCTTCTGGTCTGTGTGTCTCAACCTGTGTAAGTGCTTAGTGGTGGTTTTACATGCAGGTAAATTTGGCAAGATTATTTTGGAATCTAGCATTTAGCACTTTGCCAGGCTAGTCCTCTCAAGCCCTATGGAGAAGAGTATGACAGAGGGCTAAAACAGAATGCAGGAGATGATTGTGACACAAACCCAAAGGACAGTGAAACCTGAAGAACAATGAAAGTAATAGGTGGCAGGTTTAAAACAAACATAAGAAATCACTTCTTCACACAATGCACAGTCAACCTGTGGAATTCATTGATAAGCTACAACCTGTGGATCTAAGGCAAAAAGCATAACTGGGTTCAAAAAAGAATTAGCTAAGTTCATGGAGGATAGATCCATCAATGGCTATTAGACAAGATGGTCGGGGATGCAGCCCTGTTCTCTGGGTGTCCCTAAAACGCCAACTGCCAGGAGTTGGGTCTGGATGACAGGGGATGGATTACTCAATAATTGCCTTGCTCTGTTCATTCCCTCTGAAGCGTCTGGCACTGGCCACAGTCTGAAGACAGGATACTGGGCTAGAGGGACCATTGGTCTGACCAAGTATGGCCGTTCTTATGTTCCTATTGTCTATGTTCATATGACCCCTGGAAGAAGTTCTTTGGAGCTTATGTACAAATCAATGTGCTAGGTAAACACATTTGTCTTGATTGTCACTTTTCATCAAATACTACATCTGTGCTAGTAAAATAATGCAGAGCCTAATTTTCAAAGCTGTTTATTTGCCTCCTTGTTCTTTTGAGCCATCAAGCTCCATGGTATGTTTCATTTGACGTATGTATGAAAAATGATTCAGAAGCTGAAGGGACTGACTTACAAGGGAAGATTAAATGAACTAAATATGTGTAACTTGTCTAAATGCCAACTACAGGGAGACATGAAAACAGAGATACGTGCATCTGAAAGGTGTATTTGCTAAGGAGGGACTGGAGTTGTTTAGAGTGATGCTAGGAGAAGAAACTGTGAGTAATGGGATGAAGTAGAACGAGTGCAATTCAGGCAGAATATCAAAGAAAACTCCATGAGAATGAGATTAATTGGGCGGTGGAATTGTTTCTCCCAAAATGGATAGTGTCCACAAAGCTGGTAGAAGCTCTAGCACATGAGACATTTGAAACTAAAGTGGACACAGCTCTTAAGTACTGACTGTAAGGAACAATCCTACCTTGGCAAAGAGTGGATGTTCTAAATCAGTGGTTCTCAACCTTTTTGGGCTCAGAACCCATTTGTACATGTTTATGGCCTGTCACGACCCAGTAAAAAGTCTGGGGGTGAAGGCCCTGCAGTGGTTTCGGTTGGGTCGTGGCCCCTGGGGAGGGAGTTTGGGTCCTCCCTGGCAGTCACCCCACAGTGGCAGCTCCTGCAGCTCCTGTGCTGTGGGGCTGGCTGGGCTTGGCTCTCTGTCCCAGGCGTTGAAACCTCCAGGACTGCAGCACCTTTCAGGTCTGGGCCCACCATCCTGACTGGTCCAAATTTGTATGAGTGGAGTTGTGACATGGCTCATGGGGTTGAAGTGCCGCTTACTCAGATTTGACCTACCCTTACTCCTGTCATCATGACAGCTGAGCCAAACCTGACTGGCGCTGGGACCCCAGAGGTTGCAGTGCCTGGAGCAGGGAGATGAGCCCAGCCAGCCCTGTGGGACAAGGGCCGCAGGAGCTGCTGTGTAACCCTTTGAAACATTCTGGTGACCCAATTTTGGGTCCTGAACCATGGGCTGAGAAACCCGGTTCTAAATGACCGAATCAGTCCTTGCCCATCTCCACTCTTGTTGACTCAGTGATATATTAACATGCCTGGTTCGTGTTTGCATTTCAGGGCTGCCTTCGGCAAAGAGTCAGAAGTTCTCATTGGGAACCTGGGAGATAAACTAATCCCGCAGCAGGAGATCCTGCGTGATGTCAGTGACCTGAAGGCCTTGGCCAATATGCATGAAAGCCTGGAGTGGTTAGCTGGTCGCACAAAGGCAGCCTTCTCCAACCTTCCAACAGCCCAGAGTGAGTAGCTGTCATGGATCTCTTGATTGTATGGAAACATTGGTGTTGATGGTAAAACCTACCAGAAACTGTATCATGAGACTGGAGAGGAAAACTTCTTACAGGCTAGATCCAAGGGGTTTTAAAATACACATGCAGACTTAGGTTCTGCTGGGTTATAACTCACACAGGGTTTAGGTTGTTTTAAGGAGCAGCCCTGCAGCATAGATCATGTGGAGACACATCTTCAGGGTGATGGAACTGGAGGCAATTGCCTTAGGCAGGCACAGTTCCTCTGAAGGCTCAAGGAAAAGTACAAGGCAAAGCAGCTGAACCTTTTTATAGAGCACAGGACGTGCTTCCCTCTGCACGGTGCCAGCTCTGCATGGGAGCAGTCCCACAACCCCACTCCTCACAATAGTGGGGCACCAGCACCACTGGGAGCACAAGCCACGGGCAGTCTTTGCATGCAGAACCAGCAGGTGAAGATGGCATCTTGCCCCCATCCTTCTCTTGTGCACGCACACAGGGCCGGACACAATCCTGTCCACAGGTTTTAAACACCATCTGCTAATGAGGTTACATAAGGTCAGACATTAGTACCGGGCCATCAAGATGCTTTTTATGTTTGAATAAAATAAAGCCTCGCTAGATCATTAGATAGTTTAGAACAGTTTTATATGGATCCAACAGAGAAATAGGAAAACTTACTTATTTTCTATACGATGCATGACATACAATATAGCCGGAAGAGAATGCTGTCTTTTCACTTACCCAAATGCCTTCATTACCTCTTGTTTCTTTTGGTTATTCCAAAGCATGAAAGATGGGGGAAAGATTAAAACAAATGTATTAAAAGAACATCTTTTTATGAAAGCTCCACATTGGAAAGCAGTTCAAACCATTTCAGCTTCCCCCGTTTATAGTACAGGAGGCAGGGCAACTGCTCTGTATTGAGCTGCGGCTGAAAAGCCTGCTTGGGAGGAAAAATGATTGAGAGATACTCTTTTAACTAGAGACATCCTGGTTTATATATTGAAAAGGCTTATTACTGTGACATTGTTACACTGGCAGACGATAAATCTGCTGAGCTGGAGGTGGCCCCCCTCATACTGAGATGCATTGTGGTCCAACGGATAGCGTGGAGGACTGGGAATCAAGAGACCTAGCTTCTATTTCAGGCAGCATAACCTCTGGCAAATCATTCTACTTCCCTGCACCTCCGTTCTCTGGGGATGATGATAGTACCCGCATCTGGGAGGTACTTGGAGATCTATGAATGAAGAATGCTAGGCAAATTATTATGGTGGCTCTGATTATTAGCATTATTGTTATTGAGATTCTTGGCCAAAGCAATTATGCAGCGGAAATACAAATTGATCTCAGTAATGGTTTCCTTCTTTCTGAATGAATGCATCAGCTATACTAAAAATACAGCCACTATTTTAAAAATGCGGTAGGAATAATACCACACTTGCAACTTGGTCATATTTCTGTTGTTTGTACATCACTGAGTCCCCTGACACAACTGATGCCGACAGATCTGTGTCTGTAATGTTCACCGTTATGCAGAGGATGGCATCTTTGACCTAATGGTGTCCCCTATGCCATTTCATTGTAGCAATAACATGCTCCGCATGGTACATCTCAGGGTGATTATTACACTCTGGAAGTTTAAAGTCATTGAGCTATCAGCCTCATAGTATAACGCTCTCCCAAGCATGCTGTAATTGCCTAGAAAAGTACTGACTCTCGTGTCTTTTTCCTTACATGATTGAGGGACATTCAGCACATCAGTTAACTCAATTGGCACCCTTCCTAACCATCTCATTTTAAACAAGCCTTTGAATAGCAGAAAGACTTTACAGCATCAGCCCTTTGTACTGTGGTCGCTTATGGAAGGAGGGTTTATTTCTTAATAAATAACACAACAATGAATTAGCGAGTGCATATGTTTACCAGTATTAAAACTGCTCCCATGTGTGTCATAGAGTCTATGCTGCTAATGAAGATTCTCCTTTAACTCAAATGGCAGGATCTGTGTTCTTTTGGAGAGGAGGGTATGAGTTCAATCCTTACTTTTGCTCTGACGTTCCAAATGGCTGTAGGATGTAGCACAGTGACCGCTACAAAGTGGCCACTTATTTGTTACAGGACTTTGCATTTCTTTAGTTCCCTCTCATCTCAAGATCCGAATGTGCTTTACAGTCATTATGCATCAACACCGTTGCAAAGAAAACAATGGCAGTATTAAATGCAGCTGCCTCTAGGGTGGAGCGAAGCAGCTGTTTAACTGTAACGCTACACCTCAGTTCAAGGAAAGGAAGAGAAGGAAATTGTAAGTAGACAATGGAATTACACAAGTGGAATGTAACCAGGAATGAAACCTGAAACAAGTTGCCTAGTGTGGACACACTGCACTTTTGCAGTTCAGTCACACCGGTGCAAGTAGCAGTGGTGTAGTTGTCTGGGTTGAGATTTTCAAAACACCGAAGGGAGATGGATAACCAGTTCTCATTCATTTTAATTTGGGTATCCAAATACTAAACCGTCATTGAAAAAATCTCAGCTTTAGTTTTAGGGAAAGTGCCAGGGGATCTTTAACCACCCTCAACAGTCAGGACGTAACTTCACATCTCATCTAAAAGACTCGGCTTAGGCCCTCCAAGCATTTGACACAGCCTGATTCTGCTTATCTAGTTGAGATCTGTTGGGATCTCTAAGGTGGTGTGATCAGCTAACATTTAAAGGGTTAGTGCCAAAATCCTTAGGCCTCAACTATGATTGACTTTAAGATTATTTTAATCTGTCCTCCAGGTGCTAAATACCTCGGTTAAAAAAAACCTGTCATGCTATTACGAAGAAAAATGTGTACGAGACTAATATTTTTGCGTGTCCCACAAAAAATTAGAGCAAAGGTTGACTTCCAGCCATTATTCCCAGAACTGTATTAGTTCTTTGGGCCTGGTAAGGAATTATACGCTGTCAGTCTAAGTTGTTAAAATGAAAACATCATAGTTACTTTCAGCACCAGTTGAAATGCAGATTTTTTTTTTAAATCAATGTTTCCCAAACATAAAAGGGTACAATCATGACATTCCCACTTCAGAGAGGATGCTTCACACATTGGTGAATAAACATAAAAGTACAAAATATAATATTTTACTTGGCAGTGTCTTCCTTACTGTAAAAATAAAATCTTGCTTTGTAGTAAATTTATATTAATGCACTAAACCATCTGTACACAAATGCAAGGAGTATATGAAACAAGAGAAAGCAGTGTTACTAAACGATGGAGTCTATTGACCTAGTGGTCAGAAGTGAAACCTGGTGGGATGAGACTCATAAATGGAATGTCAACATAGCCAAGTGCAATCTATACAGGAGAAATAAAAAGTGAAGAGAAGGGGCAGAGGTGATGGCATGTGTCAAAAGTATTTACAAATCTGCCAAGCTACAATGAAGAGTGTGGTGGTGAAATTCTTTTGGGGAAGGATACAAAGAATAAAGAGCAAAGGAGAAATGAGACAAGGCATCTGCCTACATTCCATCAGCACAGGAGAACAAACAAACAAAAGTAACTAAATAAATAAATCCTGGGCTGACTTTGAAAGTGCTTCAAACAACTGGATACTGAACTCCTAGGGGATTATAACTACCCAGATCTGGCTGTTTTAGTGATTCACACAACACCAGTGCCATAAAACTTACCTGTGCCACAATTTATTCTATTCTAGATAGATACTTATACATCACTCATCCCCATAGCACCTAAATACTGCTATCCACCATGCACAAAGGAGAATGGAGCAATAAATAAGCTAAATAAAGGTGTCTCCTGTCATAACTGAAACTCCACATTCAAGCTCTGGCAGATTGCCAGACAGAGTAGATGCTAAAGGCAGGGGACCTGAGCTCTGCAGTTGTTAGGAAAACTGACCCAAGCCCCTAGAGTCATTCTCAATTTCGGCATTTGTCACTTAGATTTTGAGATATTTGCAGATTTGAAACCAGCAGATTCTGTGCGAATGTAACTGACTGACTACTCCTTGATTCTTCGTAATAATCTGTGCGTAGAGACCTCTTCATCGTTTCTGTGCCAAGTTTCTAGAATGCTGGTTACCCCTCTGTCTTAGCAGGCTGACTTTGAGCTATAGAGCAGAATGATAGTCATTGTCATCTTCTGTTTCTGACAGCTCCATCTTCAGCCTTATTTTGTACTTTGGAATAGGTGCTCTATTAAAGAGCCTCTGTCACTTGAGCTACAGCAGTAATTCGACTAGGCGGTAGCAGTTGTAGGCTCTTATCCTCTCTGGACTAGCCACCAGATTGGGGCCAAACATGCTTGGCCTGAGTGGTACCTGTAAAAAGCGTGATGAAAAAATAGAAGCATTGCTGCGGTGTGACATGGGACGGGGAAATAGGGACTCTGGGCTTTTCTTCTGACTCTCCAGCTTTGGACCAGGAAATCCCCACTTGGGGAGGGACTTTCCAAAAGGGCCAAAGTGACTTAGGAGCACAAATCCTGTTGAAAATCAATGGGACATGTTCTCCTCGGTCACACGGGTGCTTTTGAAAATCCCACCCTGGCGAGCATTTTCCTCCTCTGTATAGCGGGGTCACCCGCATGTAGCCCCCTCTTAGCACTGCTGTGAGGATTAATTGTTTAATGTTTGTAGGTTTCCTATGTGGAGAATGCAGCTGTTGCAGTGGGTCACTCTACGCAGGACCCTAAAGGTCAGAGGAGCCTGTTTATGCTCCTGTCTGCGACACGGATACCGATAGCGTCTGCTGCCCCTCCCAAGTCCTTTTTGGCTGACCTAGGCGGCTGTAGGCTGCTCAATCCCAGCTGGTTCCTCTTCCTCTCTTAAGGATAGAAAATCCTCCATTCACAGGTTTGTGCAGGAACAGGGCTCAGCAAAGCTCATTTCTGCTTTGTCACGTGTTCCTCCCAGCTCATGCTGCAGGGTTTCAGCCAGCCACCTGCAGCAGTAGGATGGGATCCCTCCGTCCTCACCCAT